GGGGGGCGGGGTCTGGCCGGCGGGAGGAGGAGTCGGGAAAGGCTTCCCGAAAAAGGAGGTATCATCTGAGAGAAGTAGAAGTCTACCAGGCAGAGGGGACAGCATGTGCAAGGGCCCAGTGGTTAGTGGGAAATCAGAAGAGACCACATAAGTGACGCCAGAAAGCTGAGCTGGCAGGGGAAACATGGTACAAGATGGGACGAGGGAGGTAGGTTGTGGCCAGATGACACAGGGCCTTCGAGGCCCTAGTCTATGTACATTCATCTTTATTCCGTGCGACAAGTCGTCATTGATGGGTTTTGACCTGAGCAGTGACAAGGTCTCTCGGTCTTTGGTCTTAGTTAGCTTTGACTTAGACACTTGGCCTGACGTCCATTCATGGGATCCAGGCAGACTTTTGATAAATCAGTGTGCTTACAGCCTGGGACCAGAGGGCAGGGGGAGCATTAAGTAGGATTTCTTTCCGCATGCCGTTGAGAGCAGGGGTTCTGCTACCGTAACACAGGCAGTGTCCTGGAGACGTAGAGTCAAGATTATTTACGTTCTCCTCGTAAGGGGGAGAGGGTGGACGGTTGAGTGATACCTCAGTAGAGGGCTTCTTACCTTTAGTGTCTGCATCTCTGGTTGGGGCATGAAGGTCAATGAAAGGGCAAAGAGTAGAGGCGAGGAAGAGGGTGGTGGGAACAGGGCCTTTGGAAGTAAAGGTGCCATCTGCATCCCCCTCCAACTTCAGGGAGCAGGCGAGTTGTCTAGATTCTCTAACCTGCTGCTTCATTTTTGCCAACCTTGGCAAGGATTCAGGGTCCATTTAGTAGGATCAGGAACAAGCCAATACAGTCTGGGGCTCAAAGAGGTTCTTAGAGCCAGGCCTCCCAACTTATAGGTGCTACACTTCCCTTGGGGGCCATGGAGTTACCATGATCAGGCCCCATAGCCCATGGCTATTTCTTTTTTTTTTTTTTAATTTTTTTTTCAACGTTTATTTATTTTTGGGACAGAGAGAGACAGAGCATGAACGGGGGAGGGGCAGAGAGAGAGGGAGACACAGAATCGGAAACAGGCTCCAGGCTCTGAGCCATCAGCCCAGAGCCTGACGCGGGGCTCGAACTCACGGACCGCGAGATCGTGACCTGGCTGAAGTCGGACGCTTAACCGACTGCGCCACCCAGGCGCCCCCCATGGCTATTTCTTAATCAGTGAATACAACGAGGCCTATCATGTGAGTCGAGAGACCTTCTCTTACTTAATAAGGATCCTGTTCTAGAGGTCTCTAACCACAGTCTCTTGGCACCCTCAGAATGAAGTGGAGAGTGTCACAGGGATGCTCAACGAGGCTGAGGGGAAGGCCATAAAACTGGCCAAGGATGTGGCATCCCTTGGGTCCCAGCTCCAGGACACCCAGGTGGGTATTCTGCCACGTGATTCAGAGGGAGCTGGGGTGTGGACTTCCTGGGGGTGGCTCCCTGAGACTTCCACATGGCATTTCGTAGGAGCTGCTTCAAGAAGAAACCCGGCAGAAACTCAATGTGTCCACCAAGTTGCGCCAGCTGGAGGACGAGAGGAACAGCCTGCAGGACCAGCTGGACGAGGAGATAGACGCCAAGCAGAACCTGGAGCGCCACATCTCAACTCTGAACATCCAGGTGCTGGCCGTGTGTCCTTGCCTTTCTAGGTGTAAGCCTTGAAGGGTAGCTCAGGAGCTCGGAGAGGCTGTGGTTGAGTGTTGGCGCCATTTTGTTTGGCTCACTGGCTCCCCCTGCTGTTGAATTTCCTCCAGGAGGAGAAGGTGGTCTCTTCTCAGGGTGGAGTCAGGGATGGGACTCGCTCATTGGCCCTCCTTCTACCCCAACCCGGACACTGTCATTTTAGCTCTCCGATTCGAAGAAGAAGCTACAGGACTTTGCCAGCACCGTGGAGGCCTTGGAAGAGGGCAAGAAGCGGTTCCAGAAGGAAATCGAAGGCCTCACCCAGCAGTACGAAGAGAAGGCAGCTGCTTATGACAAACTGGAAAAGACCAAGAACAGGCTTCAGCAGGAGCTGGACGACCTGGTCGTCGATTTGGACAACCAGCGGCAACTGGTGTCCAACCTGGAAAAGAAGCAGAAGAAGTTTGATCAGGTAGGGGCTGGAGGGCCGTCGGCTCTGTTCACGGACACGGGCTGGGGTGGGAGGGTCTTTGAAGCAGCTGGTGTGGCTGCCATGTATGTGTCTCCCACCCATCCTCCCAAGGAAAGCTAGCTTGCCTTGGGTGACCATGAAGCATCGGGGTTCCTAGGTCAGAGTGAGGAGAGCACTGGCTCTTGGACGTGACTTCCAGATATCCCCAGCACCAGGGCCACCTGCGACCCCAGGGATGCCTTAGTTTCTAGCCCTGAGAAGGAAGGAAATTTATTTCACTTCACTCAACAAGTATTTATCGAGTGTCTCCTGAATACTCCACATAATTTAATGTTCCACCTTTCGATACCACTTCCCCCAACATTTCATGATGAAGAATTTCACGCACACAGCAAAGCTGAAGCACTGAAGAGTGAACACCTGTATACCCACCACGTGGATTGGATCATTAATGTTTTACCAAATTTGGATGAACTGTCTCTGTCACTGGATGCATTTCAAAGCAAATGGCAGGTTTCCCCCTCTATACTTCAGCACTCTTAACTGGAGTTCTTCTTTAACAGAAAATTTTGCTTCTTGTGTATACATGCAAATGCACAAATCTCAAGTATCCACTCACTGGAATTCTGGTAAATGCATAATACACCCATGTGGCCCAAACCCTTAAAAAATGCCAACTTTTAATACGCTACTCAGATTTAGCAAAGCTGATTTGGTGTGCAAGTGACTTGGGATGATCCTCGAAATCAATCTGGGGATTGTTTTGGGAGGCCAATGCCAGGGGTGTGGGGGTTCACTGCCCCTCCCCGCCTGGGCTCAGAGGAGCAGGCTTCCAGGCGTCACCCTGGCTCTGTCCTTCTCCATCTCAGGCGGCCAGCCTGTCTTCACTGCTTCCACTATGCTGCCCCATTACTGGCTTGAGGGCCTGGGCTTGCTTCTTTTATTTCCCTGTCACACATCACGTAAGGTTTTGTGCTGACTGCTGTTTTGGGGGCCCCTATTACTTACCTGTCTTCGCTCACTTCTCAAAGCCTGGTTTTTGGATGTGTCAGTGTATACGCTTATGCCGCCGTCTGTGCGGATGACATTAACGTCGGCCTGGAGTGTTCCTTGAACTGCCTCTCCAAGCACAGAGCTAAGTATGTGCCGCTCTGTCCACACACTCACCCTTTCCCTACTCTGGCTCAGAGAGTGCTTTTGAGGGCTGGAGATGAGTGGCCATGATAAAAAGAATTAGTGGCCTCTGGCAGGATTAAATGTCACTGTGACCTCACTAGTATGTTCGAACCAGCGCGGGCAGCATTAGTGATTTCAACGCACAAAGACTCAGCAGGTGCTGGCTCTGAGTAAGGTCCACCTACTGGAAGTCAGAAGGAAGCTCTTTATTAACTATTTGCATAGATACCTTAATGACTTCCACCGCCTCTGAAGAAATTCAGGCAGGAGGCTGCTTGCGCTTATTTGCAATTGAAAGGGAGCCTGGGTGGCTCATTGGGCTAAGCGGCTGAGCGTCAGACTCTTGGTTTTGGCTCAGGTCATGATCTCTAGGTTTGTGGGTTCGAGCTCCGCGTCGTGGGGCTCTGAGCTGACGGTGCGCAGCCTGCTTCAGATTCTCTCTCTCTCCCTCTCTCTCTCTGCCCCTCCCTGCTTATGCTTTCTCTGTCTCTCAAAATGAATAAAGTTAAAGTTATTTTAAAAAAAAAAAGGGGGAAGTCAAACTTCACCTCCGGGGCTGGGCTTCCGTTGTGTTGTAGT